CCCCTGACCCCCCACCTCCCCTGACCCCTCACCTCCCCTGACCCCATGTCCTCCATCTCCCCTGCCCCCCATCTCCCCGGCCCTCTACCCCAGGGCAGATTACACAGATGTGGGGGGATCGAGGTGCTGTGAGGCGGGAGTGTTGGACCTGGGACTTGAACTCAGGGCCTGGGTGCCGTCCCTGACCTTCATTCAAGGCTGGCATTCTGCCGCTGGAGCCACACCTCCAATCTGGCTTTTTGCTGGCTCATTGGCGAGCCGCCATCCTCCGATCTCAGGCTCCGGAGTGGCTGGGGGCGGTGGGCAGGCGTGAGCCGCGGTGCACAGACCCTCTGAGGGTTTGTGAAGAAGCTGCAGGATGGGCGTCTCTCCGGGACCTGCTGGCCCCGCGTGGACGCTGCCCATCCGAGGCCTATAAATGGCTGGTCACAGGATTCCTTCCCTTGGCACGGGCGCCAGGCTCCTGTGGGGCCGGAGTTATTTCTGACTCCTCCAGACCAGGCCTGTCTGCCCGGTCACCAGCCCAGCCACCTTGCAGGGAAAGCAAAGACGTTCATAGTGAAGCCCCCCCCCCCGCGTTTCCCATCTGCCCCCCAAACCCAGTTCTAAAGGCCGGCACCAAGGGAGATCTCTGTTCTTCCGTTTTTGCTGATCCTGGAGCTTGAACTCGGGTCCCGGGCGCTGTCCCCGAGCCTCTCTGTGTTCAAGGCTGACGCTCTACCACTTGAGCCACAGCAGCGCCACTTCAGTTTTCTGAGTGGTTTATGGGAGATCAGAGTCTCTGATCTCCAATCTCAGCCTCCTGAGTAGCTGGGATGACAGGCGTGGTACAGCCCAGCCCTCGAGTTCAAGCCCAGTGCGGGAGAGGGAGACAGAGACAGGAGGGGGGTGTGAGGGGGAGGGGGAAGGGAGGAGACTGACAGAGAGAGATAACCTTTTCTTCCTGCGGTTCACTTAAGATTGCTTCCTGATCTAAACCTTTGATCTTGGAGTGATTTGGAAATGGAAACTGTAGCCCTGAGCTGGTGGCTCCCGCCTGTCATCCCAACTCCTCAGCAGGCTGAGATCGGAGGATCAAGGTTCAGAACCAGCCGGGGCAGGAAAGTCCATGAGACTCTGATCTCCAGTGAACCACCAAAAAGTGGAGCTGTGGCTCAAGTGGTAGAGCACCAGCCTTGAGAAAAAAGCTCAGGGACAGCGCCCAGGGGCTGAGTTCAAGCCCCAGGACCAGTGCGCACATGCATACACACACACACACACACACACACAGTTTATAAACACTCGTTTAGAATGGCATCAGTAGACAGGACTGGATCCCAGGCTCCTGTAGGCTTTCTTTTTTCCCTCCTCACTGGGTTTATTCATCCCCAAAATGACATCAGGTGGTGATATGTTCACTCATTCATTCATTCATTCATTCTTCTCTTTTAGTGGAGAAACGAGACTCAACAAAGAGAAAATCCTTCAAGGTAGGTGGAACTCCCAGCTTCTTTAACTGGCTGGTTTAGAGGTGCGGAGGTATGGGGGGAAAGCGGGGCGCAGGGGCACACACACACACACACACACACGCTCAGAATCTGTGGATCGCGCCCGGAGGCTCCCTCGGCCTCTGCAGTGGGGGACTCCTGCGTGGCTCTGCGTGTGCCCCTGTGTGTGTGACCCCGCGTGACCCTCTCCGCAGGGCAGGGCGTGGACGAGCCCCTCTCAGACGCCGGCCACGTGCAGGCTGCGGCGGCCGGCCGGTTCCTGAGCCGCGTGGTGTTCACACACGCCTTCTCCAGTGACCTTACCAGGACCAAGCAGGTGAGCGGCAGGTTGGGGGCGGGCGGGGGGGCAGGGCCCGGAGAAGGGGGCTCCCTGAACCCGGGGAAACCAAGTCACGCGTGGACAGCAGCCCCCCACCCCCCAGGCAGAATTGTGCTTTTCACAGCACTTTCGATTGCTGGTTTGTTTCTTGGTTTTGTATCGGTCCTGAGGCTTGAACTCGGAGCCTGGGCGCTGTCCCTGAGCCTCTTTGTGCACAAGGCCAGCGCTCTACCACTTGAGCCACAGCGCCACTTCCGGCTTTTTTCCTTTTGCTTATGTGGTGCTGAGGAATCGAACCCAGGGCCTCAGGCATGCAAGGCGAGCGCTCTACCACTGAGCCACCTTCCCAGCCTCACCCTTTTCTTTTTAATTGCTAGTTCCTTTTACTTCACTGAGATGATGCAGATCCATCCTTACTTTGAGGTTTCTCGTGGTGACTTTTGTGTCATTCGTGTGTCATTTTTTTTTTTCCAGACTATTCACGGGATTTTGCAGGAAAGCAAATTCTGCAGACAGCTGACGGTGAAGTACGATCTGAGACTTCGGGAAAGGGTAAGCGGTGTCTCCACGCCCCTCTCTGCATGGGGCAGATTTCCTCTCCACCACAGCGGCCTGTCCAGGGGCTTTGACATCAGTGTGGAGCCGGGCGCCGGTGCACACGCCTGTCATCCCAGCTCCTCGGGAGGCTGAGATCCGAGGATCGCAGCTTGAAGCTGCTTCACCCAGGAAGGTCCATGAGACTCATGGGTGGTTAACCATCAAAATAAATCCAAGCCGGGCGCTGGTGGCTCACGCCTGTAATCCTAGCTACTCAGGAGGCTGAGATCTGAGGATCGCGGTTCAAAGCCAGCCCGGGCAGGAGAGACCGTGAGACTCCTATCTCCAATAAGCCACCAGAAAACCGGAAGTGGTGCTGTAGCTCAAGTGGTAGAGCGCTCGCCTTGAGCTGAAGAGCTGAGGGACAGCACCCAAGCCCTGAGTTCAAGCCCCACGACCGACAAAAATAAAAATAAAAAATAAATCCAGAGCCTGGGCAGGTGGCTCAGTGGTAGAGCGCTCGCCAAGCAAGCAGGAAGTCCTGGGTTCGCTTCCTCAGCACCACAGACACAGAAAAAGCCGGAAGTGGTGCTGTGGCTCAAGTGGTCGAGCGCCAGCCTTGAGCCAAAGAAGCTCAGGGACAGCGCCCAGGCCCTGAGTTCAAGACCCAGGACTGGCAAACGAGAAAAGAAGAACAAAACATGCCACAGCTCTCCCGTGCGTTGAGTTTAACCCCCCCCCAATCCTGTCATTGTAAGCACACATTTTCTTTGTGTGTGGCCGGGGGGGGGGGAGGAGAGGGGATACTGGGCCCTGAATTGAGATAGGCAGGCACTTTACCCCTAGAGTCACGCTTCTGGAAGCTTCTTTTGCTTACTTTACCAACGGGGTTTTAGGTTTTGCCTTGCGCCAGCCTCCAACTCCGAACCTCCCGATCTCTGCCGGGCTTACACGCATGCACCACCACACTGGGGCCTTAGAAATTGGTTCTGGTCACTTCCGGTGGACCCCGCGGTCCTAAGCCCCTCCCCTCTCTCCCCGCCCACTGCAGAAGTACGGGATCGCCGAGGGCAGAGCCCTGAGTGAGCTGCGGGCCATGGCCAAGGCTGCTGGGGAGCAGTGCCCGGCCTTCACCCCGACCGGAGGCGAGACGCTGGCACAGGTGCGGGGCTGGGGGGGCGGGGGGGGAGGGGGGAGGGGCACACAGGCCGCACCTGATACCATTCCCTCTTTGGTTTTGGTGCCACTGGAACCCAAGGCCTTGCCACGTTCAGCTCCGTTTCCTGGCTCGTGGCTGGTGCTCTACCACGTGAGCCACGCCTCCAGCCCTGCTTCTTGCCGGCGATAGCTGTCTTAGGATAAGTCCTCCCTTCTTGAGGGGGAGCCACTGTCCCCCTGTGGCCTCTCACCCCCCCCCACATCCAGTTTTCTTTCCCAGTGGAGGGAAGCCTCGAGGGGAGTCAGCTGCCCGGGCTGGCCTTGAACCACAGTCCTCCAACCTCTGCCTCCCAAGTAGCTAGGATTACAGGCATGAGGCTTGAAAAGTAATCGCTCTGTGTGTGTGTGCGTGCGTGCCTGCGTGCGTGTGTGTGCGTGTGTGAGTACTGGGCTTGAACTCCAGGATCCTCAGATCTCAGCCTCCCGAGTAGCTGGGATGACAGGCGTGAGCCCCAGAGCTCAGCTAGACATTAACCCGCACAGCAGTTCTCTTAGCTGTGCGCTGTGGGTTTCCCGGGGTGGGCGGGCCTGGCCCACTGGGTGTGACTTCTTCATTTCCAGGTGAAAACGCGTGGGAAGGATTTCTTCGAGTCTCTGTGTCAGCTCATCGGGGACGAAGCTGCCAGCAGAGGCCCGGCGCCCCCCAGCGCCCCGAGCCAGCGCCTGGAGACCCTGCTGGCAGAGGTTTCCCCTCCAGGACAAAGTGACAGGTGGGACTCGAACTCACAGCCCGCCGGCCCGGGCCTGGCAGCCAGCGTCCTGGTGGTGACCCACGGCGCGTACATGAGAAACCTGTTCGATTACTTCCTGACCGACCTCAAGTGCTCCCTGCCCCCCGCCCTGGGCAAATTCGAACTCACGTCCGTCAGCCCCAACACGGGGATCAGCGTGTTCCTGGTGAGCTGTGAGGAGGGCCGGCGGCCCGCGCTCCAGTGTGTGTGCATGAACCTGGTGGAGCATCTCCACGAGGCCCCCGACACTGCCTGAGGGGTGTGGGTCGCCCCCAGACCCTCCCAGCCCCGGAGCGGGGGGGTCCCCCGGCCCGCTGTATTTCCAGACACGGCGAAGAACTGGCCCCATCAAACAGCAGCATCCACCTGCCCGTGCACCTGCCGCTGCCTGTGTCTTGTTATTTCTTCGTGCTGGTCCTGGGACTCGAACTCAGGACCCCAGCCTTTTTGGCTCAAATCTGCTCAAGGCTGGCTGGCGCTCTATCACTCGAGCCACGGCTCCGCTTCTGGCTTTTATCTAGTTCCTTGGAGATGAGAATTTTATTGACCGACTTTCCTGCCCAGGCTGGCCTCTAACGGCGATCCTCCCATCTCAGCCTCCAGAGCAGCTGGGATGACGGGCGTGCGCACCAGTCCCTGGTCACACTCTGTTTCCCAGTGTCAGGTTGTGCGTAGTGACAGCTGGAGGCCGGAGGTGGCTGGGAGACTCCAGGTCACAAGTTGGGAGTCTTGAGTTTCTGCATCTTCTGTTTGGGGTTTTTCTGGCGGGGGAAGGCTTGAACTCTGGGCCTGCCGGCTGTCCCCGAGCTCTTCAGCTCAGTTTTCCTTCCGGTTCTCTGATGGCTCATTGGCGATGAGTCTCACGGGCCTTTCCTGCCCGGGCTGGCCTCCAACCGCGATCCTCGGATCTCAGCCTCCTGTCCCCGGAGCGGCTGCAGGAGGGGGTTTTGTTTTCAAGGACTGCGAATGGGAACCGCCAGGGCGGAGGAAGGCAGCGGGACCCCCGTCCAGCCCCCACCCACGTCCCCGGGCCTCCTCTGCACCAGTCAGCCAGAGCTACCACAGCCCCAAACCAGGACTCGGAATCCACTCTCCGCCCAGGGCTGGACGGGCAGCTGCAGACGCGCCGAGCGCCCACCAGGTGGCGGCAGAGCACAGCCGGGGACTCAAGACCCACGGAACTCAGCCAAGCGTGCAAAACTACCATGGCTCTGTGTGTGTGCGCATGTTCACGGGTTTTGTGCTGGAGCGGGGCCCAGGTGTACGCGATGAGCTGATGGATTAGAACAACTGTATTTGATTAAGCAAAGCGCTCTGGTTTTTTGTGACACCCAACCGTGGAGGTAGCAGCGTTGACACAGAAGTAAAAGATCATTCCCGCCGGGTGCTGTGGCTCAACGCCTGGCATCCCAGCTACTCAGGAAGCTGAGATCTGAGCATATGGTGGTTCAAAGCCAGCCCCGGCAGGAAAGTCCAGTGAACCACTAGCAAAAAGCTACAAGTAGCGCTGTGGCTCAAGCGGTAGAGCGCCAGCCTTGAGCAAAAGAAGCTCAGGAACAGCCCAGGTCCTGAGTTCAAGCCCCACGACCAGCATTTTAAAGCCCACAAAGAATCATGCTAGAAAGCCAATATTGATTTTTAAGAAATTCCATTGTCCAGAAAAATTCCATCTCAACCAAATTGGGGGGGGGGGCCTGGGCGCTGTCCCTGGGCTTTATTTGCTCAAGGCTAGCGCTCTACCACTTGAGCCACAGCACCACTTCAGCTTTTTCTGTGTGATTCTGAGGAATTGAACCCAGGGCTTCATGCATGCTAGGCGAGCACCTGCCCAGCCTGAGTTTTGTAAATACCCAAAGAGATTTTTTTTTTTAAATGTATGTGCACACTCAACAATTTTGATTGAGGGGCTGGGCAGGTGGCTCAGTGGTAGAGCGCTTGCCTCACATGCATAAGGCCCTGGGTTCAATTCCTCAGCACTACAAACAGAAAAAAGCCAGAATGGTGTTACACCTCAAGATAGAGCGCTAGCCTTGAGTTGAAGATCTGAGGGACAGCGCCCAGGCCCAGAGTTCAAGCCCCACGACTGGCCAAAACAAAAGCTTTGTTATTTTGTTTTTCTTTCCTCTTTAGCTCTGTCCAGATAAAACTTGGAGAGAGATTCTCCCGCACTGGCAACTGGTTTTTATGTAGAAATGTAGCTGGAGAGGCAGCAGAAGCAGAAATCAGTTTTATTTAAACAAGGATGGGGAGACGGGGAAAAGTGGGGTAACATTTTTATAAATATCTATAAATACAGAGTGATAGGCTGTCTTCCAAATAAATAAATAAATACCACCAGATGACGGCACTCTTACAGAGACCCTGTGTGTGTGTGGGGGGCTGGAGTTAGTAGGGGTCTGGGAGGTGGGGTTGTACAGTTTTCTAGAACCATCTTGGAATTTTTCCCACACAGGCCTCAGTGGGGAAGCACTAATAAAATGGGGGGGGGTAGGGGCTGTAGGTGCTCATTTAAAGGGAGGAAGGGAAAGGAGGTTGGGGGACTCTGCCCCCAGGGTAAGGCTGAGGGGGGGGTGGGCGTCAGGGAGGGGACATCCGTGTGCACCGGGGGTGGCTGAGATTGGGGGAGCTGGCTGAGAATCAGGCCTGAAGCCTGGCCCGGCTTCACCTGCCCTGCGCAGGCCCACAGTGCAGTCCAGGTGTCTGGGCAGCCTGGGGTGATGACCTTGCCCTGGGGTGGATGACCTTGTCTCTGGGTGGATGACCTTGTCCCAGGGAGGAATGACGTTGTGTGGGGGTGGATGACCTTGTCCCTGGGCAGATGACCTCGTCACGGGGTGGATGACCTTGCCCTGGGGGTGAATGACCTTGTCCTGGGGCGGATGGCTTCGTCCTGGGATGGATGACCTTGTGTGGGGGTAGATGACCTTGTCACGGGGCGGATGACCTTGTCCCTGGGCAGATGACCTTGTGTGGGGGTGGATGGCCTCGCCCCTGGGATGGATGACCTTGTGGGGGGGGAGTGGATGGCCTCGTCCAGGGGCAGATGACCTTTGGGGGGGTGGATGACCTTGTCCCTGGGCAGATGACCTTGTGGGGGGGGAGTGGATGGTCTTGTCCCGGGGCAGATG